TTTTCTTCTTCTCTTTCCCTGGATGTTATATCTCTCAAAGAAAGTATATAAGCGAAATTGGTTTCGTATATTCATTTACTTTCTTCGAACAAGTCTTTCGAATGCGTTCATCTGTTACAACGATCTGAATCAACAACACATGGCTTATGTCGAATTCCTCTCTTCTATTTCAATGTCACTGATTGGTGATCAAAGTTCACGGAAAAGAAGAGGTAGACCTATTCACTTTGCTGCCCAAAAGTGTAGACGAATTCAACCGACGCCTGGGAACAAATATTTATCAACTCCATTACAAGCACATATGCCTGTTGCTGGACCTAAAGGAAGATGCGGATATTGCAGAACGAAAGCTCGTTCAATATTTAGTAACATAAAATGCAGTTTTTGTGGTATTTCTTTTTGTGTAAAACAACATAAAAATTGCTTTTTGTTATTCCATGAAAACATTCTATAAGTTTTGCAACTAGTAAACTTCAGCAGTTAAAATTTCCATTTAAGTATAACAAGGTTCGATATAACTAACATTCAGTAAATCACATGCGAGAACACATGAGTTACTTTTTACATATGTTCCTATTAGTGGTGAATTGAGGGTTTTGGCAAAGACGGGGCCGATCACTTCTTCATCCGCTTCTCAATTCGTTACTGGTCCCTATCTCTAAAAAAAAGCTAATTTAATATTTTACTCGATTTCAATGCAGAAAAAAAAATTATGTAACGAAAGGGTTAACAAAAGTAAAAAGCTTAAAAGATATCATCAGTTTTTATTCTAAATATAAGAATTTTTCGATGCGTGAATAAGACTGTAAAAGAACTTATATCTGTGCTTATTTTTTCATTCCTCATCCTCGAGACCATCTTAATAGAAAATGATAAGTTTCGATGCTTACATTCAGTCAGTAAAAAAAGAAGAAAACTCGTACAAAACTACATAAATATGGTGCGAAACAATCTCAATTTTCGACAATGCGGTTTCAATTAAAATAAGAACAAAAAATTATTTCTTCTACTCACGACAGTGGACTGGCGACTAGACGACCAATTTTAATTCTTTCGAATAAAGAGTGAAGATTAAATCATCAAAATTACTGTTTTGCGGCATTTACTAAAGATAAATGGGAACTGATATTAAAGATTCGAAAATGTTTGTAGTATTTCGAGACATGAATCCTTCTGACAGAGTTCGAACGAATTTCCAGCGACTCGCTATTTTCGAGAACACCGTGACATAAAGTACAGATTTAGTTTTGGAGAAAAGTAAACAACTATCTCATCAATACTCTGTTTTTCTATAGATTACATCGAAAATTCTTCTTTCGAGAATCAAAAATTAAATTAACACAAATAGTGATGTATTTCTTTAAGTGCACATTTTTTGACACAAGTTGAGAATTTTCATTGATCCTTACCAAACTTACACAGTGCAAAATATGAGTTAGAAATAAGAAGCAATAGATATGTTCCATCTGAATTACATAAAAATATTCGGCTTCTCCCTTCTTCTCTATTCTTTACTTCAAGGTCGAGATCTTATAGAGATTGTTGAACCTATCCCGCCTAGACTCAAAACATTCTGCCGCTACTGTACCAAATGTGTTTTGTTGTGTATATGAAGCATTGAAAACGGCCCACTTTTTGATGACTTGACTCGGTTCTACTAAAAATAATATGATTAAAAGTATATTTCTTTAATAAAAAGAATTTTTAAAAGACGGAATTCCACAATCATCTATTAGAACAGTATAAAAAATTTATTATCATAGTGATCACGAGTGAAATAAGGTCGGATAACATTAATGCTTGAAAAAACAGTATCAGAGATAAGTCGAGTTATGAATTGAATCGAAAGACGATGATACGTTCGTAAGTATTTCGATTTCTTGAAGACTATCATTTATTGACATAAATTTCAACAAGTAAAATACCTGTTAATCAATTTGAAAGGTTCAAACCGGTTACTATTTTGTACACAGTAAATACTGTTCCATTTAATACAGTTGATAGTGTACTTGGCCCGGTGTCTAGATAAGGAAGGTCATTGAAGCAAATAAATATGCTGCTTTTACATATTGGTTAAATGAAAAATTTCAAAACATTCACATAATAAAGATTCAAGATTGTCACCAGTTGCGAGATGCAAATTCCATATGAAAAATTTTGACAAAAAGTCAAAATAAAATCGATCAAAAATTAGCTTTTTTTCTATTTTCTTAAGTAAAAAGTCTTCCTTAAAAAAAAAAAGAAATTAAGTTTGGACTAGACGGTCCATTTCGAACTCAGATATATATACAGTTGATGTAACACTCTATCGTATTAAATAATCATCATTGATACATTTGAAGTGTTTCCATCATCTTTGCTTTCAATACGATAGACTGATGTTACGAAGTTAACTTGGTCAAAAATCGACTATTATCTATAGTTTCTTCAATGATCAATCAAATATTCTTTAATACGTAAGTATATCGATATCTAGTGTTAAAATATGATCAACATATAATTAATTATTCGACAAATTTAAAAAGAAAAATAAACATTCTATCAAATTTTCATTAAAAATTCTACTGATTATAGTTAAACAGGGGCTTTCTTTATTCGATACAGTAAAAAATGCATCATCTTCATTTCTTCGGGTGATAAACTATGAAATGATATCGTCAATGGTGAGCAACATTGTTCACCTTTTTTTTGACCAAATTGTGCATTCTTTTCAATCCATTTTGTAAAATTTCCCATAAAATGTTGTTCAAATGTCATTGGATGAAAAATTTCAAGTTGTTGATTATCACGTACATTTACAACAAATATACCAATACGTGCAAGACAATAAGCAAGATTTATATCTTCAGCTTCATCTTTATTACATAATTTACGTTTTTCAGTTTTTGTTAAAACTTCTTTACCAAATTGAAGTAATGCTTCTTGACTTAAGATATAACCAGCACCACCTGATGCATAAAGTCGATCTGACGTTGTAGCTATATAACCATAATAAAATGATATATTTGATGGACGACGTCGAAGAAAATGGCGAAGATTTTCAACGATGACATATGTATCATCATCACCTTTAAAAAACCAATCATAATCACGACCATATTGTTCATATATATAGAGTAATGAAAGTAAAGTTTTTTCCGATAATCGATTATATTTTTCTATCGTTTCATCACCAATATAAGCAATAGAAAAAGGATATTTTGAATGATCAAGAGAAGATGATTGACGTGACCCAGCAATCATAAAAATTGAATGATCACATCGTTTAGCCCATGTTCTAGATTCGACATACGAAAATTATCATTTTCTCTAAATAAACAAGTTGATTTACTCACTCATATACGACAATGGCTTGATCAAGTCGTTTAGGTGTTGTTGGAACCCAACATAAAATTCGTGTATTTATATTAATTATACTGGTTTTATCACTGATATTATCCAGTATTGATATTTCAAAATTATTTTTACAATGAGAATCATATAAATAAAATAAATAAATTAAAGGTTCAATGATTAATAATAAAAGTATAATAAAATAGATGAACATTCGACGACGATATAATGACATGAGAATATAAGAGATTAAGAAGAAAAAGCTCGAACGAATGAAAAAAAAAAATAAAGACAACATTAAAAAAAGCCTTCACATTATTCAATGTTTACTTTTCAAATGGAACGAAAATAAAATAGTCGAATCGGATAATTATAAAAAGCCAAAAAAAAGATGGTGTGTCAGTTTATAAATGACAAGTAAATAAACGATCACTTGGCAAGACAGTAATATATTCATATGCGTATTAATGCTAAATAATATGAAATATTTCATCACCAATTACTTGAGCTATTTCAATCAAATGTTCTTCTACTAATGGATGTGTGAAACGTGTTTAGAAAAAATTTTTCACTCGATCAAGAAGGTTAACAGAAAGTAGTAAGCATCTAGGTAGAATAAAAATGATATGCTCTTTTGGGATTTTTTTGAGACTTATACGTTAAGAGTTATGAGCAAATTTTTGAAAGTCCTGAAAATAAAGTTTTAAGGATTTTTGATGTTCAATAAAACCTTCTGGATAGAGATGACATTTATTCTACATACACCAATAGAGAGACCAGAGCATTTCTCTACAAAAGAATATAGTCATCATCAGTTGTCTCTAAGGTGTCGACCAGTAACAAGAGATTTAGTAAGATATACAATAGCGTGTTCACAATCCTTTGATTTTCTGAACTGGTCGTTTCTTACAAACAGTTACAAAACTCTTAATTCTTAGTTCCGTTTGTAGAGAACTGTTTCGACCATTATAGAGTTCAATAATGGATAGCATGCTGAGAAGGAAGTCTATTATACAAGTGCTAATTGAGAACGTGATGCAGTCAAAGGAAAAAAGTGAAATTAAACAATATGAAATTAATTTCAAACACGATACGGTCGTATTCTCTAACCCCGTCTAAATTTTATTTTCAGACCATTCAAAAACTTGCTTATAACTTCTGAACTATGAGTCTTGCAAAAATTCAGGAAGAATGTATAATTCTGATTCTAATCAAGTGTTGAATAGTTTCGACTGGTTTTCTTAATCGATCGAAACATAAAAGAATATTTTGTCTCAAAAAATTTCGATGCACCCATTACTTGTTTACTTCCGTGATATGAATTATGTTTACATCATAATGAAATTTTTTATGAAAAATTAAAACATTTTCTACTTATTGATTCATTAATTTTCATCACAAGTTATTCGACTAAGCATAAATTAGAAAAAAATAAGCAAAAGAAAATTTAAGTAGTTTAACATAATTTTATTTTGCTTTTTATTTATGAATTTAAAGATAGATTTTATTAAAATACAACATTTCATGGAGGAAAAAACTTGTAATTGAAAAATATTACTATCAAAATAGAAACAAGAACACTGAACCTTACAACACATGGAATATCTGCAGAAATAACAGTGTCTTTTTGTTTTTAAATAAGATATGTAGTTTTTAAAACTAAGACATTATACAAGTAAAACCATGCGCAATTGATTATTGAACACTGTAGATTTTACTATTTCAACAAGTGATGATGTTGAAATATGAACATTAAAACGCTCAGTAATAAAAGCCTCTATCGTTTTTAGAATTTCATCATGGTGGAGAATGAAAAATGCTGCTTATAATGAGTTATTATTCATCTGTGATGTATTTCTGAGTATATATTTCGTTGTGTATAGGGTTTTCGATGTAGATTTAAAATTAGAATAATAAACTAAAATGTATACGTATTTTTACAATGTTGACTTATTTAAAAAAAACACAATCAATAATGAGATACGACTATTTATTGTATTATATGAATAATAAAACATGTTTCTTGTAAACATTGGCATCTTGTAAGACCGATTAGAACGTGAATGTTGGATCAACACATACTTACATATATATATATATATATATATATATGATTCAAATAACCTGAGTATTTTAGTTTTTGACGAGTAACACAACCAAGTACTTTCTTGATAATTTCACAGTATTTAGAATTGATAATATTAATACATTAAAGTGATATTCTCTTCAAAAACAAATATTTATTAGATTAATGATTGGTAGTTGTCATAGTTCAGACAATATATATATATTAGTCTATAACATGGTGACGTAATTTTTATTCTGTTAGAATATCTTTCAAAAAGTGAAAGATAATAAAAAGAACATGAATAGAACAGAAAACAAACGGATTGAACATAAGCAACAAGCACTGTTTGTTGATGTTGTAAATCTTTGTATTGTTGAACTGCTAGATGCGAAGATACTTTGTGTTGTTGAACTGCTAGATACGAAGGTACTTGATGTCGTATCATTTTTAACTAGCGAAAAAAGACTAGTAAGATTGGCAAGAGAACCAGCAGTAGCATGCGGATTTGGATTAAGTTTAAGAATATGACAGGCAATATGATAAATATCAACATTATTAAGTGAATCAATTTGAACATTTTCATTAAACGAAGGACCACGAGCCATAAATATGGCTTGCATTGATGGTAGTGTATTATCCCATCCGTGATTGCCTTTATTATCATATTGTGCATTAGTTGTTGCCTAAACATAAAGTTGAGAACGATGTTCGATTAAGCTAATTCAAAAGATTACTCCTGATATAATGTGACCTTCCACATCTGGCAATGCGGTGATTTCGCCAAGTCGATGTTTTGGCTTTGAATAATGAAAACGTTCAGGCATTTCATCACGCTTATAGACTGTTACATTAGGAATATTACTAAGATTATTGTGCACTTGTTCGGTCTTTTTTTTTTGAATAAATAATTTATAATCGATATATTTTTAGAATTATATATTCTTACTAGTCCACTTCTTGGCATCACATTGAATAAGGCACCAGAAAGAACAGTTGATTCAACTGATGATCGATTGACATATTTCTCAAAAAATGGTCGTATTACTTTTGTTACATTGGTCATACCCTTAAAATCTTCAAATGTATTGAAGTAGCTAGTGACTTTCGAATAAGAATGTCATATTAGAACAATGATTAAAGCCTAATGCTGTAATATTATTTTGCATTGAAATCAATTCATGTTTACGTAGGTGTCAGCATTAAGTTAATATTGTTTTTTGTTCTAGTATATATATTTTATGTTAATTTTTAAACACTATCTAGACATCAGAAGTGGAGCGTTTTAGGAGTTATCTGGACATCATACGTAGTTTTTTTTGCAACTACTAGTAGTATATGCTCCCTATGATCTTCTTATCGGTTAGATTTCTTAGAATAAATGGCTAGTTGTATCAGGACCATGGAAAAATTCTTGCATATTGTCTAGAACATTTTACTACTTCTACAACGAAAAATGAGATGTGGATGGGTGTGGCTGTCAATGTGCGAGTGAAGTGTGATCTGTGCGTGTTCTTCTCAAGCGCATATTCATATCAAGACTCAGATACTCCACACTCGCAGATACACCTAAACAAAGTACATACAAGTCAACTGCTATTGTATGAAAACTATATTGCATACAAGTATTTATCCATATATGAATGTTTTTCTTTTATAGATTAGAAACCAAGTTTAAAATGAAAATACATTATTCTTCTTTAATATTCTCGGCACGTCTTTTAGCTGAAAATGAAATCTATTTATACAATTTTAAAACTTTTACTTTGTAGACATGTTACTAATAAAGTCGAAGATGTTTTTGAAACATAAATTAAACATTAATAAAATACTTTTTACAACTGTTTCAAATATTCCCTTAATGCTCTTGAAAATTTTATCATAAAATATGTTGTCCGCGCATAAATGTCATTCGAAGTGAATAAATAAATTTCGTTTGTCATTTTTCATTACAAAAGTAATAAAATACTTGAGACGACAATGCAAATCAATTTCATGATTCTCATGAACTAACTATCTATTGAAAGAATGTCAACTGATAAGAAGGTCATACGTAGCATATTGAGATAGTTCAAAAAAAAACACTACAGACAAGATATTCACGTAGCCCATTAAAAGTTATAGACATCCTGTATAGATAGTGCTTAAAAAATTTACATGAAATATATTCATGAGAATTAGAACTAATGCTAATATGATATTCTTATTTTCGAAAAATATCTCACACAAATAAGTTTCTTAAGTATTTTTACATACATGATCAGAGAGTATAATAATATTTAAGTCATCATTGAGTTCATTTTTTACTTTATTTAATAAATATTCTGTATCATTATCGAGACGTAATAACTAGTTAAAGAAAAAACTATAAATAAATTTTACTTCAATAAGTTTCTACTTACTGCATCGCGTACTTCAGGTGAATTTGGACCGTATGTATGACCTTGTTTGTCTGGTTCACTTAAAGAGAAAATAATTATTTCCATAAAAAGTAAAATATATTTATCAACTATACAAATGATATAGCATAACGAGTTGAACTGGTAATTCACGAAAGTAACCTATGGCATTGTCAATTTTTTCACGAAATGGTATGTTATCAGTATATAAATAACTATAGATAAGTGGACGAATGCCATAAAATTCATTATGACATGCTGGCCAAAAAAGAACAGCCGATTTTACTTTCTAAAATAAACAAAATATTCAACTTGTTAAATAAATATTTTCATTTTAAATAAATACCTGTTTAGTCGCAGTAATCCATAAAGGTTCTATTTTTGGATCAGACCATTGTCCATCATCACGATTACCTTAAATAAAAAAGTTCAATTGATTATTTTTGACATTAGATTAAAATGAAATATATACCCATTCCAATAGTTTTATTTAATAATCGATCATAGAAGGAATTATGTATGATTCCATGATCTTCTTGATACATTCCTAAATTTCATACACAAAAGAATATCACATAACTCGTGTAAATATATTTTTGTATAGACCCGTTGCAATTGAGATATGATTAGGAAATGTCATTGTAGTAAATGTAGGCCGCATTCCATGTCGTGCTTGTACACCTTCATTGCGAAATCGATTCAATGTAGGTAATTCAAGCTCATTTAAATAATCATGACGAAATCCTTCAAAACAAATTACTTTCCGTTATAATCAAATCCTATTAATTTACATCGTACCATCAAGTGAAATAATCAGTAGTCGTGGGATGTTAGATAATTTTTTCGTACCATCACCGTATCTCAATAACACAATTTGAAAGATAGACACTATCAAGGTAATACATCGAAAGTACATTATAGTGAAAAAAAACAAGTCTGAGTAGTTTGCGTCTGATATAAATATCAATTGTCAGAAGTTGACAACCATAGCTACCTGTTTCATTTTATTTTATTTTATTTTTTTGTTATTTGGTTCTTATCTTAGAAAGGGTGTGTATTAAGAGTTATAGAGATCCGACTGTAAATATAAGCTAGAGAGAGAGAGAGACTCGCAAGAGAAAAATGATAACATATTGCTTTTATTATGTAGTTAATAAATTTGATGTAATGTCTGTTTGAATTTAGAAAATATCAATATTATTTAAGATCTTAACACTAATGTTAATCAGATGTGAAGAATTTTTTTTCATTTTTACACTAGAAACAGAAAAGAAATAAACATATAAACAGTTGATAATACAATTATATTAATTGTTCAAGTTCATCAGCTGATCGACTTAAATATGAAGCTGCTTCTCGATATGCATTGACAAGAACTTTAATTGAATTTATTTCACTATTAGACAGTTTTATTTGTTTGGATAATTTATTGGCGTTTGTTGTTGACGAATCATTTGTCCCTACATAAAATGAAAAGAATTCAGTCAATAAAAAGAAAAAGTAAAAAATAAAACACTTTGATAAGAACCGTTAGTATGTGTATGAGATGATACGAGTGTTGTTGGAATGGGTGGAGGTGGCGCTGTAAGTGATTGAAGAAAATTTGATGAAGAAAAATTTGGACGGAAAAGTGGTGATGTTGAACCAGTACCATTCGAAGCTGCAGCAACAGCAGCTGCTGAAAAATAAGCTGATAGATCAAGTGATGGTCGAAATTGTTGTGAAAATGCATGACGAAGAAAATCGGCATCAAGTGCAGATAATGTCGATGCTGATGATGTAACTAGATCAGACTATAAATAATGCATAAAGAAAACATATTTATACATAAAGAAATATTTTCAATAAGAACAAAACAATTAATTCAATTCCTATAGAATGTCAAAAAATATATTATCATCAACTCTTTATTTCGAACATATACATATATATACATACCGTTTTGGGTGTTGTGTTACTTGAAGTTGAATTTGATCGATTTTTTTTAATCGTATTTTCATTAGAATTAAAACGTTCGGTAGTTGTTTTTGGTAAAATATTTGTATGCTCCTATAAGAAGAAAAAACAAGATTTGTTAAAATTTATTAATATTATAAATCGTTATACTTGATGTAAAAATGAATTAGTTGTATGTGATGATTGTTGTGTTTTACGCATTTTGAAAATATTACGAATCATTCGACGAATTCGATCAAGAGATATATCGCGATATTCTTTTATACAAGCATTTTCAAGTGCTTTTACTTGTTCATCATATGTTGAACCTAATGATGATGAATCATTAATTAATGTTTGAATGAAAGACTGAAAGAAAAAAGAATATGACAAGTTTTTTTTTCAAAGTTTTATTATCTCACTTTGAGACTTTTCATGCGTAATTGAGATTCATTTTCTTTCTTGGCTTTATTATTATTATTATTATTATTATTATTTTGAGTATTCGCATCATTACTACTAGTAGTTGTATCAATTTGAGAAGATGTACCATTTTGATTTGAGGTTTGTATTGTGGATGATAAATGTTTGCTTGAAGAAGAAGAAGAATTTGTTTGATTTACAGTTGTTTCATTGTTACGATGAGGTGATCGAGAACGATCTTTCGGTGAATGAGCAAGCATATCTAAAAGCAAAAAAAAATGATCACCTACTTTACATTATTTACAATGAGATATTGCACGACAAAAAAAAAAGAAAAATCTTACCTTTTTTTTTTTGTACGAGTTATTTCTTTTGCTTTTTCAGTGACTCTGTCATTATTTATGAAAATATGAAGTGATGAGTGAATAGACCAAGCATATTCTCTTCCTTTCTAGTTCTCCCTATTTTTCTTACTATTAATCTGTTGATGCTTGGTTGCACGTTCAGGTTGACATGCTCGTCGACGTGCGCTAACTTGTCTTACTAATAGGACGATGCTTGAATCAATTTCAGAGAATGAACTGCAAGTTACACATATGAGAGAAAAACGACGCACAACGGACGGAAGGCTCTCTTCCTGTCTTGTTCTCCCCAAAAAAATTTTGCGCTCTCTATCTCTCTATTTTTTTTTGACTATAAGACATCTCGCCATTGTAATCAATGAAGGTGAAAGCCGGTTAAAGTCTTTATGTGTGCAATGTCGGTAAACTATTAAAAACAGAAAGCGAACGTTGTGAGTATGCTCATTCCGCTCGTCTAACAAAAAAATTGATAATGAAGACGAACGACGCATTTTGCACTACTACTCACATCACTATTTTCCCTCTTACCTTTTCCTTCTCTTCATCCAAAAAAAAAACGTTGTGTGTGTTTCTTCTTTCCGACGAAGACGACAATTCCTTTTCTCGTCGCCCAAAAAAAAATGACGACGAAGGCACGGAGAGAAGATCATGTTTTCTGTTCTCAAACGGAATAATATAAGACGAATGAGCGCACATACCATATAGCTTAGAATCTACAACGTACCAACGCGACCAACACTCGAGATTTGCTTTACCTTGACAATGCGACGAAGGTGGAATAGTAACGATGTAGTAACAGCAAAAAGGAGAAATACTACTGTTCACCTGTTATTATTAAACGATATTAGCATCGCTTTATTCATATACCAACAAACGGAAGTATTGCAATCAAAATCAAAATTATAAATTTTAAATACAAAAACTTTTTTATATTCTTGAATAGATTAATTATATGTGTTTCAAATGTTCTAGCTTTATTATCAGAGATTTGAATGTTAGTATAATTTATAATGATCTAGATAATATAATGACTGATTTCATAAAGAAAATGTCTTTTTTTATCATTCCTAATTGGCAAGAGTATCAAGCTGTTGCAATTAAATATATAAAAGTACAATGGTATCAAAACATACATGATGATAAAGCCTTTTTTTTTTTGTTGCTTATCAATGACACTCTTTCCTACTCGTTACAGCCTAATACTAGTTCCAACAGCTGGCTGCTGTTGCCAATTGATAGTGATGAAAAAAGAAAATACGGAATACGAAAAAAAACAACGGATTGATGAAAAAAAGACGAAGGAAAAAAAATCGCGAATACACAGACACATTTGCGAAAAATCCGGCCGATTGATTGACGAGATCCAAAAAAAACCAAGAGGAAAAAAATTTCAATTATCACTTGTTTGGTTATTCGTGCATATTCATATTGTGTAACATCAATCGTAAGTCAACACAAACCTGTATTGAATAGTGTTACAGAAAAAAGAAACAAGGTAGATTGATAATCAATTTTATTTACAAATATTGTTCATTGTGTGTTCTTTTTCTAAATTAGAAAAAAATTGAAAGATAAGATGACATATACAAATGGAACGTTCTGGTTGTTATAGTCTGTCGGGTTACTTATCGCTTAAACCTTGTGGAGGTATATTTGTTATTGATAAATCATATATATATTTTTTTTTTCTTTTTTAATATAACGATAACAGCATTAAGTCTTGTCCTTCCTACTCGTCGTTATTGGTGTGCATTTAACGAATCAATTCAAACATTAGAATTTTATCAATCTGAACGTGATTTAATTAGTAATAAAACACCTATTGAAAGTATATCATTATATCGAGCTGCTATAACTTTAAATACAACTGAGGAGCATGTCTTTATCATTTTGTATGTTGGTAGTTTTTATATCTCTACATATATTTTTGAATATCTAATTTTAGAACTAATAATAAAGAATATCATTTACGAGCTGAAAATCATGAAGCATTAATGATTTGGTTACTTGGATTACAAGTAAGAAAACACAGTTGAAAATGAAGAATATTAATCTTTATATTATTATCTTTCAGACCAAACGTGATTCATGTATACCATCTAATAATGGATCATTAATACATGAAATACATTCAGGATTTGATACTGATGAAGTAAGTTGAATATTTTTTTTTTCTTTTATATTAATATTAAATTGATTCATTTTTTTAATCAATTCAGATTATTAATAATGAAGATGGTAGGTATTAATAAAGAAAGCGGATCAACTCCACCAAAAATTCTTATTTATGATTTTTAAATCATTCTAGTTTGGAATATGCATCAATCGGATAGTTTAACACCAACTGAATTTTTAAATTCAAGAATGTTTATTACCGAACGATCTAATCTATTTGAATTTTCTAGTGAAGACGGTTTGTATCTAATATATTTATTTAAATGAGGATTTTTTTTTTTCGAAAGAATAATTATTTTAGAAAAATATCGTCCTACTTCAATAATGGAAACCACTACTCGAAAACTGAGGTTTTTTTCTAAAGAGAATTTATCTATCTTACAATAGTATTTATTTTGCTTCTTTTAGTTTATCATCTAACACAGGTGTTCATCTTTGTCATACATGTACATTATCATTATGTTCAACTTGTCGTTCAACATTTATTCGATCATCAGATTTATTAAATTTATCAACACCAAATCGAAATGGTTCATCTAGTCATTCAATTGAATCAACAGATTCAGCTTTTTTTGATCAACGTTTATTCGATTTAAATGATGGATTGATTCAGCAAAATAATTTACAAGAAACCTTATTGTAATTAATATTTTCTATTTATTTAATATAGTCTTCTTTCTAATTGTTTTCTTTAAAATTAGAACATTAAAATGTGAATTAGCTTCATTAATCAATAAAGAAAATATTTATCAAATGATAATCAAAGAAAAATCGGAGGCAATACGTAAACTTGAAAAACAATTATCTGATGTTATTCAATCAGAAACATCATGTAGCAAGTATGATTTATTGAAATAAATTTATTCAAAAGAATAAAAAGAAAAAGAAAACAACAATTTTAGACATCAAGCTATTTCGAAAGTATTTAATGAACGAAGTCGAGAAACTAATAATGAACTTAAATTCCTTCATTGTGAAATAACAAGATTATTTGGAATTATTCGTGATGATGATATTAAAATGCGTAAACTTCTAAAGTAAATATTTTCAAAAATAGAATCTATATAATTAAGAATAACTTACTATCTTTCCCGAACGTGAAAATCACAATTTTTTTGATTGTTTTTTTCACTGGGATATATAGATATATGTTTTTAAGTATTCTCTGTGGATCTGCAAAAACGAACAATTTTCAAGATCCCTTCCCTATCTCGAAAAAAACTCAATATTTCACCTTTTAGCAGATTATCAAGTTAGAGTCACATATTGAGATACGTGAGACATCCTTTGACTTCTACTCTAGATAAATGATCGAGTTGATTCGAGAAGCGAAAATTTTCGACTTCAGACTAATTTTCAGCAGTATACATTATTTCTTTTTGTATTCAAGGCTATTTCATTGATTTCCTTTCTTTCATTAGTTATAAAAGAAATGTATAGTCGACAAGACGAATAGTATTTATACGTGTCTGATAATAGATATCTGACCGGTACAATAAAAGTACTCTTTGAGCATAAAAAACTAACTCATTAAATATGTAGTTGTCAAAAACTTACAAAAACCTTAAATAGAAAGAATAAAATATGAGTATGGAGGAGAAAATCGGAATTCAATTTTGTTATTTGTTTTTCTCAGAATCAAATTTTATACTATAGAAGTTCTATTTCATTCCGGTTTTTTATTTCAGAAATTATTGCTTTGGAAATTTCTAGCAACTTTCACAAAATTTATCTTACAAGGAAATCCATTTAACTGATAATGAGGGCTTGAGGTCAAATGTTGCTTATAGATAGAATTCATAGGTTAGATTAAAATCTGAAAAGAACTTGTGCGGTTAGACCTTTTTTCTCAAAGTATAATCATTTTACTGAACTTTTCGCCTATTGTAGATTATCATGAGAAAAACCGTAACAATGATGCCTTCTTAAGATATCTTAAGCCTAACAACTGATCAATTTTTGAAGCTCTTGTGTGAAAATAACATGTTTGGAAAACGCATTATCTCAGAAGGAATAGATCTATTTGAACTGAAAACTTCAGGATATCATAAGAGTCAAGAGAGCTCTTGTTACTGAGAATTTCGGGTCAAAACTTCTCGTGCAATTTCTCTCATGATATCTGGCAATAACGGAAAGTTCAGTAAAATGATCATAATTCAAGGTGAAAGGCCTCCTAATGGCACAAATCCTTTCAGGGTTTTTATCTAAACTGGAAATTTTGTATAGTCTCAAGTACCTTGAAAAAAAACTTTCAACTGGATCGAATGTAATATTTCGGAGAAAGATGAGCAAAAGAAGGGATTGATTGAACTAATGGTGAATACAATATATCATGAAAGATAGCATATTGAAACTTTGAGTCTCGTACAAGTTTTGCTCTACTCTTCAAAATTGATTTGATCTGAAAGTTTCAAATTTTTCTGATAAAATGACTTTTTAGAACAATACGTTCACAACAAAGTCAACGTGAAAGTTTACAACGTGATTATATTTATTTATTACAAACATCTTTATCAACTGAAGATGGTCGATTATTTGGAGGAACAAAAGTAAAGAAAATTGAATGTTTCTTTTTCTGTCTAATAATAATATCTTATAATTAAATAGCATCGTGATCGATTGAAAGAATTATTAGCTGATTGCCGTAAACGTGATCCATCATTACCATCATTTGATAGGTTATATTATTGAATTGATTATATATATATATATTTTTTTTAATT